TTGCTTGCTGCGCACAGGGGACGGCACTGGAGGCCTTGGGGGGATTTGCGACATCTGGTCATCGCTGTGGGGGGAGAGCAGAAGCCGACCAAACCTCTCCTGTGCTTCTTCTTTCAGGTACCCTGTGCAAAGATCCCCCAACCCCATTGATCATAGCACCAAGTATTCTGAAATCCTGGCAGGGCTCCTGTGTGTTGATTTCATGTGAGATCAAAAGTTCATATGTTCGGACCCTCCAGGAATTCTCTCTACTTTGGTATTTAAATCCTGAATTTGATAAATCCCTGAAAGACTATTCTGGAACATTGTTGCACAAGATCAACACCACCTCCCGTTACCAGAGTACCACAGTTATTCCTTGGTTCAGTGGTCGGGTGAAATATGCGGGAAGTTTCAGCAGCAGAGACTGCAGCTTGAAGGTTTCTCAGCTCCAGAAAAATGACTCTGGTTCGTATGGGGCACGACTTTATGGTTCACCTACACAACCATCGCAAAAGTGGCTTTTTACAGCTGAAGTTATAGTGGAAGGTAAGAATTTTGCACAGCAGTTTCTGTTCCTGCTTCCTCCCAGAAAAATGTGGTTCTTTAGTTGGGACAAACCCCCTTCCCTTTCAGAGCAGCAGCATCATGGTTTGTAGTGGCAGCATTTCAGTGACAAATGATGTTTGGACGTTACTTGCAGTTCCTGTTAGCCAGGATGGCTGGCCTTTAATCGCTATTGCATCTTATTACATTCTTCAATGTGACTCACATCCCATTCACACACTGCCTTCTGTGCTCTAATGCTTTCCTTGCCCTGATCAACTTTCTTGCTGTTGCTGCTTCTGCACCTTTAGCAGCAACTGGTATGCAGAAATGTAGTGAAGGAAACTTAACTTTTATGGGAAATAACATCACTCACTGGTTGTACGAGCCCTGAATCAAATAAGTTTTAAATCATTAGAACTGTACGTGAAGGTTTAAACTTTTGCTCTTTGCCTTGAGAATCCTGCATTGAAGAGTCAAATGGTCACTCCATGGAGAATTAAATCATTTCTGTAGAAATATGATGCTGGAAAAATCTAGATGAAGTAAGTTGTCCTCATCAATATGTGATTCGGAAAATGGGTTGGTTTGACTTCGATCAGTTGAGGAGGCTTCGTCTTCAGCACAGGTACCAGACATGAGTTGAGGTTTGGATCGCATGCCTGCAGGAGCACCCCACTCATGGCAGAGGTGCCCAGAGCACAGCTGGGCCGAGTTGCATAGGATGAGTTTCAGCTGGTTCATTCAGGAATGACCAGCAGACCAAGTGCTTGAACCCATGTGCACCTGCGTTCATACTGGCTTCTTGTTGCTCCTGGCTCATAGAAAAGGGCAGGGAGGGAAGAAGCAGGCGGGCCAGGAAGGTGAGCATGGGCCACCTTCACGAGTCATTGGCGAAGTCACTCCCGAAACTTCTCTGGAGACCCTAATACTTTCAGCCTGGCAGTGAATGTTCCCTTTCTGAGAAAGTTCCTTGAGAAGGTGGAGGCCAACCAGTTCTGGCTATTCTTGGATGGGACTAGTTATCTGGGTCCATTTTGTTTGGGAGGTCAGGGCAAGATTTGCAGTCATGCAGAGTGTTATCCTGTTGACACTCCTGGACCTGTTGGGGCGTTCAGCTGATAAGAAGATCAAGGTGGTCCAAACACATAATATCAGTTGTGGCCGCCTTTCACTGGCACCTGAGAGTACCACCTTTAAGGCAGGCTCAGTTGGTGGCAACAAGAAGGAGGGCCTTCTTTGTGGTAGCCCCCAGATTCTGGAACACACTCACCACTGAGCCTGGCCTGGCACCAATTTTGCCGTCCTTTCACACCAGGGCAAGGCTGCCCTTGAAGCCTTTGGCAGCCCTGATTAGCCCATGCAAGGTGGGGATCATCTGCTGTTTTTAGGGGGTCAAGCTACACAAACATGCTTGTTAAAAAGTGGCTTTAACTTTCTAGTGACATTTTATGAGTTGTTAAATGGTTATTTATATTTTATTGTATGCTTTTGGTTGCTATACATCAAGCAGGGAATGTCAGCTATAGGGTGGCTTGGAAAAAACACCAGTCATGACAACACACATGATCTGCATGGTTCCAGGGGCCACCCTGGGCATCTCCAGGTATGGAAGGGAGAAACCCCAGCTGGAACCCTTGGAGGGCCCTCCCACATCAGTGTGCAGACTCCTAAACCAGGCAGAGCCATGGCCAGGCCGCCCTGTATCTATAGCATCAAATACTGGGCAAGGGTGGCACGGAAATCCAGTGTCCTGATGCCAAACCCGTGTGGAGCTCCCTTCCCTGCAAAGTGTGGGGGAGACTGTCAGGCTGCACCAGGGCCATTTCCTCCATCTAAGCAAAGGTCTGGCTCAGGCACCCCATGGCCCGTCTCCTCTGATTTGGAAAGGGGCCGTGCCTCCTCCAAGGAGAAATGTGCCCCTCCGTCATCACTGCTCAGTCAAGCAACACGCTGGAGAATGGTGCGAAGTGGGGTAAAGTGCCTTTCAAACCCACACCAGGTTTGGCAGCTACCCTGGGCAAACTCAATTGGCGCACCCATCTGTAGGACGGGGAATCCCATGTCGCCCCGCCTGCTGTCTCCTTGCTACAGGTGATGGGCATCAGATGCAGTGATGGGCGCACTAATTCAGCACTACAATGGCTTGGAACATAAGGAGTTTTAGGAGGCAGGCACTCAAGGACCAATGCCCCATCAGCCCCTTTCAGTTTCCCCTCATTCCATGCATTTTTCAGCTCAAACTCACCTGTCCAACTATGGAGAACTTCCTGAATATCAGTAAATTCCCATGTGCAGAATAAGCCCAATAGTTATTTTAGAACTCTCAGCTAACCTTGGCCTCCCATGTGCTCCTCTGGGGATACAGAATCACCTCCGGCACCCGACTTCTACCCTAAGACCTTGAAAGAAGATGAGATGACCGAATTGACGTGCACAATGATCTACCATTGCCTTGATGAGCCACTGAGCTTGACTCTTGGCGGCTTAGAGGGGGATCGTTTGGCTGCACAAAGAAGGATTTCTGAAGCCAGAAGTCTCAAGACTGTGCTGGACTTTAAGCCAACGTGGAAGGACCACAGGAAAAGGCTGACATGCTCTCTGAACCACCTGAACGGATCACAAGTATCCCAGAGCAGCATGGAACTGGATGTGAAATGTGAGCGTCTCACATGGATGGGGGGCCCTGGGCCTTTTGTGGGTGCTTGAAAGAAGGGTGCCCAGGATGAGAACAGAGGCACTTTGAGCAATCCTATGCATGTTTACTCAGAAGTAACCTCCCTCTGTTTTCCCTGGGACTTACCACGGAGAAACTGCATACGATAGCAGCCTTCCTTTCATCCTGACAGCACATGATCTGCTTCCAGTGGCATAGAGGTAGATGGGGTAGAGTAGAAGTAGCTGTAAATGTGTTGAATTAAAAAGTGGGTCTTTATCAGTGCAATTTAACTTAAGGGAAATAATGTTAATGAAGGGATAAGTATTATTATGAAAGGTTCAGAACAGTTGCAGGTGTTCTTGATGGCTCCATATTTTGCACCCAGAACACCCAGAAAGGATGTTTGTCAAGGAAATGCTTCTCCCATCCTCCACAGGTGGAATCTTATTCCGGGATTGGGTCTTTTATCGACCAGGAACTCCTCAGTCGTGTCTTGAATACTTGGTTAGCTTCCATGTAGCCCATGGCTAATCCAGGCATTGGTTGAGAATGTCAAAAGTGACGGTGGTCACAGTGAAGGAAAGATTAGACTACTGTTTGCAGACTTTAAGTTATTAGGTGCCTCTCCAGAATTGATGAGAAATCCACCCATGTTTGGTATTTGGGTCCCCTTGACCACATATCAAAAGTAGTGTACAGAAATCAGGCAGCACGTCCGTCTTCCGTTTTTCACTCTGAATGTTGCCTTTGTTTCAGATCCTCCTAAAGGGGTGGAGGTGAAAGCTGTCCCTGGACAGGCAGTCCAAGAGGGAACCAAACTTTTACTGCAGTGTATATACAACAGCAGCAATCCAGAGGTTTATACATACC